TCTTATCCAGAGCGACTTACAGGAGCAATTATGGTTAAGTGCCTTGCTCAAGGGCACATTTACGTCATTTAGCAGACGATCTTATCCAGAGCGACTTACAAAATTGTGCATTCACCCTATAGCCAGTGGGATAACCACTTTCCAATATTTTTTTATATTTTTTTTTTTTTCTGATTTTTATATATATATATATATTATTTTTTGGGGGGGGGTAGAAGGATTACTTTATTACTTTATGTCTCCGGAAGGTGGTGAGTGACTCCGCTGTCCTGGCGTCGTGAGGGAGCTTGTTCCACCATTGGGGTGCCAGAGCAGCGAACAGTTTTGACTGGGCTGAGCGGGAACTATGCTTCCGCAGAGGAAGGGGAGCCAGCAGGCCAGAGGTGGATGAACGCAATGCCCTCGTTTGGGTGTAGGGACTGATCAGAGCCTGAAGGTACGGAGGTGCCGTTCCCCTCACTGCTCCATAGGCAAGCACCATGGTCTTGTAACGGATGCGAGCTTCAACTGGAAGCCAGTGGAGTGTGCGGAGGAGGGGGGTGACGTGAGAGAACTTGGGAAGGTTGAACACCAGATGGGCTGCGGCATTCTGGATGAGTTGTAGGGGTTTAATGGCACAGGCAGGGAGCCCAGCCAACAGCGAGTTGCAGTAATCCAGACGGGAGATGACAAGTGCCTGGATTAGGACCTGTGCCGCTTCCTGTGTAAGGCAGGGTCGTACTCTCCGAATGTTGTAGAGCATGAACCTGCAGGATCGGGTCACCGCCTTGATGTTAGCGGAGAACGACAGGGTGTTGTCCAGGGTCACGCCAAGGCTCTTCGCACTCTGGGAGGAGGACACAACGGAGTTGTCAACCGTGATGGCGAGATCATGGAACGGGCAGTCCTTCCCCGGGAGGAAGAGCAGCTCCGTCTTGCCAGGGTTCAGCTTGAGGTGGTGATCCGTCATCCATACTGAAATGTCTGCCAGACATGCAGAGATGCGATTCGCCACCTGGTTATCAGAAGGGGGAAAGGAGAAGATTAGTTGTGTATCGTCAGCGTAGCAATGATAGGAGAGGCCATGTGAGGATATGACAGAGCCAAGTGACTTGGTGTATAGGGAGAAAAGGAGAGGGCCTAGAACTGAGCCCTGGGGGACACCAGTGGTGAGAGCACGTGGTGCGGAGACAGCTTCTCGCCACGCCACTTGGTAGGAGCGACCGGTCAGGTAGGACGCAATCCAGGAGTGAGCCGCGCCGGAGATGCCCAGCTCGGAGAGGGTGGAGAGGAGGATCTGATGGTTCACAGTATCAAAGGCAGCAGACAGGTCTAGAAGGACAAGAGCAGAGGAGAGAGAGTTAGCTTTAGCAGTGCGGAGAGCCTCCGTGACACAGAGAAGAGCAGTCTCAGTTGAATGACCAGTCCTGAAACCTGACTGGTTTGGATCAAGAAGGTCATTCTGAGAGAGATAGCAAGAGAGTTGGCTAAAGACGGCACGCTCAATAGTTTTGGAAAGAAAAGAAAGAAGGGATACTGGTCTGTAGTTGTTGACATCAGTGGGATCGAGTGTTGGTTTTTTGAGAAGGGGTGCAACTCTCGCTCTCTTGAAGACGGAAGGGACATAGCCAGCGGTCAAGGATGAGTTGATCAGCGAGGTGAGGTAGGGGAGAAGGTCACCGGAGATGGTCTGGAGAAGAGAGGAGGGGATGGGGTCAAGCGGGCAGGTTGTTGGGGCGGCCTGCAGTCACTAGTCGCAAGATTTTATCTGGAGAGAGAGGGGAGAAAGAAGTCAAAGCATAGGGTAGGGCAGTGTGAGCAGGACCAGCAGTGTCATTAGACTTAACAAACGAGGATCGGATGTCGTCAACCTTCTTTTCAAAGTGGTTGACGAAGTCATCCACAGAGAGGGAGGAGGGGTGGGGGGGAGGATTCAGCAGTGAGGAGAATGTGGCAAAGAGCTTCCTAGGGTTAGAGGCAGATGCTTGGAATTTAGAGTGGTAGAAAGTGGCCTTAGCAGCAGAAACAGATGAAGAAAATGTAGAGAGGAGGGAGTGAAAAGATGCCAGGTCGGCAGGGAGTTTAGTTTTCTTCCATTTCCGCTCAGCTGCCCGGAGCTCTGTTCTGTGAGCTCGCAATGAGTCGTCAAGCCACGGAGCTGGAGGGGAGGACCGAGCCGGCCGGGAGGATAGGGGACACAGGGAGTCAAAGGATGCAGAAAGGGAGGAGAGGAGGGTTGAGGAGGCAGAATCAGGAGATTGGAGGGAGAAGGATTGAGCAGAGGGAAGAGATGATAGGATGGAAGAGGAGAGAGTAGTGGGAGAGAGAGAGCGAAGGTTGCGGCGGCGCGTTACCATCTGTGTAGGGGCAGAGTGAGTAGTGTTGGAGGAGAGCGAGAGAGAAAAGGATACAAAGTAGTGGTCGGAGACATGGAGGGGAGTTGCAGTGAGATTAGTAGAAGAGCAACATCTAGTAAAGATGAAGTCAAGCGTATTGCCTGCCTTGTGAGTAGGGGGGGACGGTGAGAGGGTGAGGTCAAAAGAGGAGAGGAGTGGAAAGAAGGAGGCAGAGAGAAATGAGTCAAATGTAGACGTAGGGAGGTTGAAATCCCCCAAAACTGTGAAGGGTGAGCCATCCTCAGGAAAGGAACTTATCAAGGCGTCAAGCTCATTGATGAACTCTCCAAGGGAACCTGGAGGGCGATAGATGACAAGGATATTAAGCTTAAATGGGCTAGTGACTGTGACAGCATGGAATTCAAATGAGGAGATAGACAGATGGGTTAGGGGAAAAATTGAGAATGACCACTTGGGAGAGATGAGGATTCCTGTGCCACCACCCCTCTGACCAGATGCTGTCGGGGTATGCGAGAACACATGGTCAGACGAGGAGAGAGCAGTAGGAGTAGCAGTGTTTTCAGTGGTAATCCATGTTTCCGTCAGCGCCAGGAAGTCGAGGGACTGGAGGGTAGCATAGGCTGGGATGAAGTCAGCCTTGTTGGCAGCAGAACGGCAGTTCCAGAGGCTGCCTGAGACCTGGAACTCCAGGTGTGTGGTGCGTGCAGGGACCACCAGGTTAGAGAGGCAGCAGCCACGTGGTGTGAGGCGTTTGTGTAGCCTGTGCGGAGAGGAGAGAACAGGGATAGGCAGAGGCATAGTTGACAGGCTGTAGCAGATGGCTACAATAATGCAGAGGAGATTGGAATGAAATGAACTAAACATCTGGGAAAGGAGAGAGCAAGGCCTCCCTCACCCAAAAAAAATATAACTCTCCCAACTTCCACCTCAGAAACTATAATTGTTTCACTGAACCACCCGAATAAAACTCTCCCAACTTCCACTTTAGAAATTAGAATTGTTGTAAACTACAGCGGTTCAATTTTTCAAGGACTAGACTCAACTTACTTTATTCAGCTAGCTAACTATGACGCCATAGCTAACTAGCATGCTAGCATCCAATAACACACAGTTTAGCACCAATACTTGGTTACAACAAACTACCAATAGTGTGTTAACACACTAAACAGATAATTCGTGTCCGTGTCTAGTTCTTTCATAACGCAGCAATGATTAAACGTTGGCTAGCTAGCACAAAGATATTGTATTTAGCTACCACAGTACAGCCAGCTGGTAGTGTTGGCTAGCTAGCAATGGCTGCTGTGTTGACTGCGAACGAATGTAGCTGGCTAAAAGGATATTGTATTTAGTTGCTAATAGCTACTAGCCAGCTAGTCCAGGAGGTGAGTTAGCTAGCTAGCTTCGTGCTACACCCGGCACCGCCGAATACAAAAGTAACCTACAATAACTACATACAACAACTACCCACAACAGCCCACGATGCCTACCTATAATACCTAATAATATACAGCCCACGATGCCTACCTATAATACCTAACTACAATCTAAATACATAGTTTAAGCCTTACTCGACAAAGCCCAAGCAATGTATAAAGCCAAACTTACCCAACGCCAGCTAACTGGGTGGCAGACTGCAATCAGTAGCTGTAATTAAGTACAGCAGCTACCAACCACCTAACGTTAATGCCTCGGATAATGAGGTTAGAAAAACAGCTGAATGGTAGGTAGCTAGCTGGCTCAATTACAGGTACTCTTAAGCGTGAAATAACATTGGAAACAACTAACCACAGTTGCTAAAAGTTACCAGTAGCTACCCGCTAGCTAGCTAGCTTTGTTGGTCCAAGTAGTGGGTTAGCTAGCACTCGTGCTTCGCCGGGGTCCGCCGAATACAATACTTACCTACAATAATTACCTACAATAACTACCTAAGTAAACTACCTATAATACCTGACTACAATACCTACCTACAATCTAAATACATGGTTTAAGCTTTACTCAACATCATATAAGAAGCCAAGCTTACCTCCTGCTAGAGAAAACACAACCTCTCCCGACCAACAGCTCAACAGATGTGAGAGTAGTGTGGAGGAGCAGCTTGTATGAAGGAACTATGAATGTCTTTTGAACTTCAGAGTTGGCTTAACGTTGGACCAGAGCTTGCTAGCTAACCAGCTTGTCTGTGCAGAGGGGCACCAGAATTAAAAACACGTCTTATTTCTTGTAGTTAATATATCCAATGTGAAATGTGCTAACTATAGTATCCCTAACTAGCATTGAAAAAGTAAATCCATTCTTCTCTAATAAAAAAATCTCCCTCCCTAATAAAAAATCTCTCCCTATCTTCTGAATTATGCTTGTAATGTCTACAGTAGCCTATGCTTTAGAGGGGGAGGGGCAGGTAGCCTACACACACACTGGCAAAGATTTTCAGCTGGCAGGCAGACACTGGAAGAAGTTTCTGATTGACAGAGGGAGGGCTTTGCGTAGGCTCTTTGTTGTGGTTTTTTTGTGGGGCTGGTATATCCAATTAAAGTTGACCCTCCAGAGACTAAAAATAGTAAATTAGGTTTTTCTTTCTTCTCCTAGAAGTTTAAATCAATAACGCAAGAAAAAATGTATTAGGCTACTGTTCTTCCTCTGGTTTCTCTATAGAGACACTGAAAGGTTGAGGTACAGGAAGAGACTCATAGGGTAGAGAAAAACAACACAGCACACAACACCACCCTGCAGCTCTGTCTGGAAGTTAACCTGATCCTCTCTCCCCAGCTTGGCTTTGCAGACCTGAACCTGGCTGAGTTTGCTGGTTCTGGGAACACGACGCGCAGATGTCTACTGGAAGGTTACGACACCAAGAACACCCGGCAGGACAACTCCATACTAAAGGTACTGATGGGGAGAGATGGGTTTCTATCAATTACAGCAGAGGTTCCCTACCTTTTTTTCTAAGTAACTTCCCCTTTTTTGGGGGGGTTAGTGTTTATTGAGATGGCCTATATTGAATACTGCACCAGCTTGTATTATTTTGTTTAACTTGACGAACCTAGGAACATTTTGTTGTTTTGGAGCACATTTCCAGCAATTGTACGTAGTTTAACAAGACTCATTACATATTTTAGATGGGCTATTTAATAATGGATATGGAAGTCTAGACCCGATTTCCTCAAATGTTATTCCACTAGCAAATAAGTTTTATTATGATAATTTATATGAACCCTCAATTTAATTATACACTGAGTGTACAAAACATTAGGAATACCTTCCTAATAATGAGTTGCACCCAGAACAGCCTCAATTCCTCGTGGCATGGACTCTAAAAGGTGTCTAAAGCATTCCACAGGGATGCTGGCCCATGTTGACTCCAATGCTTCCCACAGTTGTGTCAAGTTGGCTGGATGTCCTTTAGGTGGTGGGACCATTCTTGATACACACGGGAAACTGTTGACTGCAAAACAGCAGCGTTGCAGTCCTTGACACACTCAAACCGGTGCGCCTGGCACCTACTACCATACCCTGTTCAAAGGCCTTAAATGTTTTGTCTTGCCCATTCACCCTCTGAATGGCACACATACACAATCCATGTCTCAATTGTCTCAAGGCTTAAAAATCCTTCTTTAACCTCTCTCCTCCCCTTCTACACAGATTGAAGTGGATTTATCAGGTGACATCAATAAGGGATCATAGCTTTAACCTGTATTCACCTGGTCAGTCTGCTATGGAAAGAGCAGGTGTTGCTAATGTCTATTTACACTTAGAGCGCATATTCTCTTTTACAGAAAGTGAATACCGTAAAATTTTAATATAGGTAAATTCCATCCAAAAACTATCTTTTGGTATTTGTTTCATTAGTCCATTGTTGATATAGTCCCAATCAAGTTTTCAAGATGTATAATACAGCCGGTATGATGCATTTTGCATCAAAATATAGAAATACAGAATCATTCAAAATCATATGATGCAAAATACATCATACCGGCTGTTTTTCTGTATTTTGATAGTTATATATTTTGAAAACTTGATTGCTGACATTTTGGGACTATATCAGCAATGGACTAATGAAAGAAATACCAAAATATCGTTTTTGGGTGGAGTTTTCCTTTAATAGCCTGGGCGTTTTTTTGCTTAAATCACTGAACACAACAGGCCATTATTAGAGACAGGCTTCTATTTGAGCCAGGCGTCTATTTCCTTAATGCACACAGCTTTTGCTTAATTGCCTAGTTAATTGTTTTAATTCCAGCATTCACTTCCAGCATTTTAATCAATTTCTTCATTTCCTGCACTGATGTGCTACCATTTACACACTGTCATGTTTCTTTTATAATAATAATAATAAAATAATTAGTCATTTAGCAGACGCTCTTATCCAGAGCGACTTACAGGAGCAATTAGGGTTAAATGCCTTGCTCAAGGGCACATCGACAGATTTTTCACCTAGTCGGCTCGGGGATTAGAACCAGCGACCTTTCGGTTACTGGCAGAATGCTCTTAACCACTAAGCTACCTGCTTTTGTCTTAGTATGCCTAAATATTTTTTATTAAAATAATAAAATAAAACATTCCTTGACAGAATTATTCTCCTCTTTGATTGTGCATTTTCAACAGTTCCACTAGAGGGCGATCGGTCGATTTCTAGGGGTCTGTACTCCCGAAGTTGTTGACTTTTTTTGTGCATGCCAGTTAGCTAGCAGTTCTCAGCTGTTAGCAGCCAATGGCTAGCAGTTTCATACTGGCGATTAAAAACAGATGATTGCCCCCCAAAAAATCGAGTCATTACTGAATTTTTTTAATGTTATAAATCAAACAGTACACCTCGTAAACAATTCATGGTAATCCATGGTAACCTCGTAAATAATTCATTTAGACCCGCCACTTTATTAGAAACAGGTGTTTATTTGCAGAAATGTTTGCCATTGCCCGGCTATTAAAAGGGACAAGTGACCATTTGAGACTCAGCGTTTAATTGAAGTTTTACGGTAGATCAATTGATAGCGACAGTCACATTGTATTAGATTACTTCCCATGCAAAGTCCAGTTTCTTTGACTCCTCGACTTTAGAAGGTCATAACTCAGCTTCTGAATATCATAGACAAACCAAAGATATTCCCATGTACATCAGTCGCGTCTTCCTCACGCATTTTACAGCTTGTTTCTAGCAGATTTATACATCGTTTTAGATCGGTTTAAGCAATCGTGAATTGTAAAAAATTAAAATAATAATCCACTCAAATCAAGGAAAGCCCCCCCCCCCCCCCACAAACGTTGGCACGCCCTATAGGGGGCACGCCACCTAGGTTGGGAACCCCTGAATTACAGTACAGCAGTCTTAGCTGCTTTTGTCTAGCCTGGTCCCAGATTTCTTTGTGCTGTCTTGCCAACTCCTATATTCATTGTTATTCACCATAGGAGTTGGCAAGACACCACCCAAAAAAATCTGGGACCAGGCTAGGTTGTGTGTCAGTGTCAATAGAGCTTTAAACACTTATTTTTCACTGTAACAGGTTATCATCAGCACACAACTGATGTCCGGGGACCCCTGTTTTAAAACGTGAGTGCCATGCCATCACAATATTTTTCATTTTTAACTAAGGCCCATTATGATTTGGTCTTGTCTAGATGGGAGACATTTTTTAAATGCAATTGGAGAAGATGCATTGAGGTTTCTCGTCTTAGCTCTACAGCAAACGCATTCAGATTTGCATAGAATTTGCCTTTGAGACCAATGTTTATCCGCCCCCCTACACTGCAGTAAGGATTCCTTCCTGCTTCTCTCTGACAGGCTACAGTAGTGGGGGTGGGTTTGAGCAAAGATAATAATTTCTATATTATTTATTAAATATAGTGCAGAAACATGGGTGTCATTCTGATTGTATGTGAGAGAAAATGACATCATTTCAAACTAAGCATTCGGTGTCCTACATTTCAGGTTCCATCAAACTTTACACTGTTAAGTATAGCAGAAGGAAAAGGTTTGCACATATTGTTTAAAACCAAAGGCATAATCAATGGGTTGGAATGTTGTAGATAGAAATGTAGCCTAATCTTGCACAGAGAGAACATTTCCCACTTGCACATGGCAGAGAATCATTTCTGTTCTTGCGTATCTATCTGTTATTTCTGTGTTGCATCCCTCTGAATAAGCTCCAGGTCTTGAGGACTTTGCCTGTTTGTTTGAGGAGTGTGTAGCATAGGGATACAGGGATCAGCACAGTGTTGTGACATGACTTTCATTAATAGGGTGACTGTTATTTATCGAATCAACTAACTATGTTTAATTGTCACTCGATTAAATTAATCATGTAACAATTAACTCATTAGGAATTTGGGGAACAACGGTATAAGTTGTTTAACGAGTTACCATCTCCCGAATTAAACTCTTAGAAGATATGTATGTTATATATCGATAACAGTCACTTATTAAATAATTACCTCTTATCAGTCTCATTCTGAACGTCGCATAATCCTTGAACCTGAAAGAACCCTAACCTTATTGATGAATCAGCAATACACAAATTGGCTTAATTATGTATTTACTAACTAATTAAATAATAACACAGAATACAAACACACACACAGGTTATTGATTACTAATGTAATACAATGAGAACAGGTCCCTAGTGGACTGGACTAACAATAGCATGAATGCTTGGGTAGAAGGAGGGCCAGGATGGAAGGGAGAGACAGAGATTCAAACTATCATTGTTACTTTGGAGACTACGCTCACAGTAATCATAATACTTATGCACCCTAATAACCGCTCATTCGGATTAGAAATGCAACATGTATTTACGTGTAGCTGTCTTCGATAGTTGAGTTGATGATGTAGGACTCTGGTTTGCCCACCAGAGATCCCAATGTCCTTGGTAGAGTTTCTGGTCTTAGTGGTGGTTAGATTATATACTTCAGCGTACCCTGTAGTTTGTAGAGTTGATATGTTAGAATAGATACTTCAGACGTACCAATGGTTGTCTGAGAGGGATTGTCCTTCCCAACTCGTGTCTTTAGTGAAAGTTCTCTAGATGACTATACATGCCAGCTGCAGACTGAGATGATAAGGTCTAGTGTGTTGTCTTCTTCACCTCGTGTAGAGGTTGACAGTTTCGGAGTTTCATCTTTTTGCCATATTCAGTTCGCGCTGCATGTCGGCTGGTCTGTAGAGTGTCAACCATTTTAAGCCGTGTAGCTTCAGCTTCACACTTCCTGGTCTGGTATAAATTCAACCATTTGCAACATCCGGCTTATACCGTAATCTACTTGGTCTGAGGTGAATTTCGTCACGATGGGTTTTATACTTGAGTAGAAAAGGGGGTGTTTCATCATGTTTGTGCTCATCTGGGCGTGGCCACTGACTGAGAACAAATCAATATGGAAACAATCATCTCGAATGCTAAAATCAGTATTATTATACTTAATCATTCGTTTTATAAAACAATTAGATGCAAACCTCATAACTGGGAAGTGTACACCCCCAGAGATACAGTTATGTTGTTCCACCGTCTTTCATGACATCACAACATAGTAACGAATTTGACATGATTGTTCTTTAAGTCGCCACTGACCATTTCCCAAATTCTTTTAAGCAGGAATATTGTTTCATTATCCACTTTTGGATGTTGGAGTCTTGGTGGAAATACTTCCTTTGTCTCACAGGCAAATTCCCTCTCCCAATACTGCATGGCACGGAAAAGAACGTTTCTGCAAGGAATTTATGACCAGTCATAAAACTGGCCCCCAGGAGAGGGGGTGTTAAAACCTTTTACATGTGATAAAGTTGTGACAGGAGCAAGGGACATGCTCACCAAGGAAGGTCCCGCACGCCCCCACGACACTAACACAGGGACATTTTGGACATTTTGGCCTGTGTAGACGTTGGTGTGGGAGCAGTTCCAAGAACGTGAGGAGGATGGCATCCAGCAGCTGTGTCTGTGTAAGCTAAACTAGAGTAGATAAGGGATGGGGTGATGAGTTGCTGAGTTAGCTGGCCAAGTACCACACCACACGGCATCATTCAGTTTGAGGCTAGAACAGCGGACTAACATCCAGGGTAGGTCTATAGTCTCACTGTCTCTAGGGCGTCTGGGTGAGTTTGAAGTTGATTCCGTCTATTTTGAGAACACACACCCAGTGTCACAGGGATGCCTGAGCTTGCCTGACTGACTGATACTCTACTTAGGCACCTTTGAGAAGAGTGGGGTGATGGGGTGAGGCAGAGGGGCTTAAGAGGCCAGGGTGGATTAGGGATAAAGGGTGGAAATTAATATGTTCTTCAGCCATAGTCTGTGTTGGAACATCTCAAGGAATGCCAACTGTCCCTGGAGCAGGAGATGACCCCCAAATGTGCTATTGCGTTGGGCAGATGAGACTGTCTTTGCCAAGATGTTTATATGAGCAATGAAAACACTCAGCACCAGAGCAAATCATTGACCGAGCTTTCATTAAACACCACTTGCATGTAGTGATGGTGCTGACAAATACTTACAACGCTTTCCATAATCATATTTTCAGTCATTTGTGTTGCTGTGCATGAACCAGCCCCCCATGTTTGTCTTCCACAGGCCTCCGTCCACAGGCACATTCATCGGCGTCCAGCGAGATGCAGAGAGCCTTCTGCAGGAGAGGAAGGGAGGGGACACTCAGAAGGCCTTCATGGGTAAGATTAACTACTCTTTACTGCTCTTCTGCTCCCACAGCTCTCACCACAGTGGGTTTATATGAATCAGTTAGTGTTCCTCAGTGCAGGTCTTGGAGTGCATCATGAATATAGCAGCTTTTAACAAACAGTCTGGCAAATGTCAGATACTGTATGTCATTTGAATTCCATGCTGTCACTTGTCCACTCAGGCTTTACATTGTCATTTATCAGGTGCCCTTAGCGAGTTCCTCAATGAGCTTGACACCTTCATAAGCTAATTTCCTGACTATGGTTCACCGCTCTTCGATTCATATCTTTCCACCTTTCTTTCCCTCCTTGCGTCTTTTGACCTCACTCTTTCGAAGTCCCCTCCCACTCACAAGGCAGGCAATACGCTTGACTTCATATTTACTAGAGAATGTTCGCCTACTAATCTCACTGCAGCCCCCCTCCAGGTCTCTGATCACTACTTTGTTTGTCTCCCTCTCCTCCAACCCTAGCCACTCAGCCCCTACACAGATGGTCATACACCATCACAATCTTCCCTCTCTCTCTCCCACTACTCTCTCCTTTACTATCCTATAATCTCTCCCTTCTGCTAAATCATTCTCCCTCCTGTCTCCTGATTCTGCCCCTTCAACCCTACTCTCCTCCCCTTCCGCATCCTATGACTCGCACTGTCCCCTTTTCTCCCGACTGGCTCGGCCCTCCCCTCCCGCTCCGTGGCTGAGTGACTCATTGCTCCGTGGATGAGTGAACAGGGCTGCGGGCAGCTGAGTGATAAAGGACTTCCGGAGGACCTATCATGCTTTCACTCCCTCCTCTCTACCTTCTCTTCCTCTGTATCCACTGCTAAAGCCACTTTCTATCACAAAAAACGCTAACCCTAGAAAAAAACCTGCCTGTTTGACCCCATACCCTCCTCCCTTCTCTGGAGACCTTCTCCCGTTCCTCACTTCCCTCATCAACTCATCTCTGACCACTGGCTTCAAAATAGCCAGAGTTTCTTCCCTCCTCAAGAAACCAACACTCTACCCATCTGATGAAAAAAAACGACAGAACGATATCCCTTCTTTCTTTTCTTTCCAAAACACATGAGCGTTCTGTCTCTGACCAACTCTCTCGCTATCTCTTTCAGAATGATCTTCTTGACCCTAACCAGTCAGGCTTCAAGATGGGTCACTCAACCAAGACTGCTCCCATCTGTGTCACGGAGTCTCTCTGCACTGCCAAAGCTGACTCTCTCCTCTGTTCTCATCCTCCTAGATCTATCCGCTGCCTTTGACACCGTGAACCATCAGATCCTCCTCTCCACCCTCTCAGGGCTAGTCATCTCAGGCTCTGCACAGTCTTGGAATGCATCCTACCTGGCAGGCCACTCCTACCAGGTGACGTGGAGATTATTTGTGTCTGCACCATGTACTCTCACTACTGGTGTCCCCCAGGGCTCGGTTCTAGGCCCTCTACTCTTTTATACACCAAGTCACTCGGCTCTGTCATATCCTCACATGGTCTCTCCTATCATTGCTATGCAGATGACACTCAACTACTTTTCTCCTTCCCCACTTCTGACACCCAGGTGGCGACACGCAACTCTGGGTGCCTGGCAGATATCTCAGCTTGGATGTCGGCCCACCACCTCAAGTTCAACCTCGACAGAGACGGAGCTGCTCTTCCTCCCAGGGAAGGCCTGCCCTCTCTAAGACCTCTCCATCACGGGTGACAACTCCACGGTGTCCCCCTCCCAGAGTGCAAAGAACCTTGGCATGACCCTGGACAACACCATGTCGTTCTCTGCGAATATCAAAGCAGTGACTCGCTCCTGCAGGTTCATGCTCTACAACATCTGTAGAGTACGACCCTACCTCACACAGGAAGAGGCGCAGGTCCTAATCCAGGCAACTCGCTGAAGGCTGGGCTCCAAGCTTGTACCATCAAACCCCTGCAACTTATCCAGAACGCTGCAGCCCGCCTGGTGTTCAACCTTCCCAAGTTCTCCCATGTCACCCCACTCCTCCGCACACTCCACTGGCTTCCAGTCGAAGCTCACATCCACTACACGACCATGGGTACTTGCCTACGGATCAGCAAGAGGAACTGCCCCCTCCCTACCATCAGGCTATGCTCAAACCCTACACCCCAACCGAGTACTCCGTACTGCCACCTCTGGTCTCTTGGCCCTCCCACCCATATGGGAGGGCAGCTCCCGCTTAGCCTAGTCAAAGCTGTTCTCTGTCCTGGCACCCCAATGGTGGAACCAGCTTCCCCCTGAAGCTAGGACAGCAGAATCCCTGCCCATCTTCCGAAAACATCTGAAACCCCACCTCTTCAAAGAATATCTTAAATAATCCCACAGCAAATCAGAGGCAAGAGTATAGGCCTATTAATCAAGGCGCTTCTTCTTCTGTTTGACAATTAAGCCTCATTGGTGTAAAGAAACCCTGCCAGCTACTAAGCTGCATGCCTCTCAGTAAATACAGACCTGGAGTGAAGAACACCTAGAGTTCTTGTATATAAATTACTGTATATGGAGCATTCGTTACTGAACATCGTTCCTCAGTCTCTGTGGTTGATTAATGTGATTGATCAAAGTCTATTTTTCTCCCTGGCTGCAGTAACTTCAGATGATTTTGTTCTGTACTAATAAAAATCTCCTCTTGTTGACTCACTCCAGTCATAATGGAATGGCAGACTGAATGGCTGCACATAATTTGATTTCCTCAATCTTTAATCCAATACAAGCCTCACCTGATACAGGAATGTGAATCTGTCTCTGTCATTCTGTGCACGTGTCATATCTAACATGTATAGAAGAGACCATTCTTCTCCTCTTCTCTCCCCTCTCTCTTTCCCTCTCTCCCTCTTTCTCTCCCTCTCTGTTTGTGCAGTGTTGTGTGCTCTCATCCCCAGGAGGCTTCAGAAAGCACTGCTCTTTCATGTATAATTCAGGCTGGTTCTTTGCTTCTCTCTCCGATCTCTCCGCCGCCAACTCCAGGGGGTAGACTCTCACATGGTTATTGGTTAAAAATAGGAACAAGCTTCTGTGTGTGTGTGTGTGAGGTCCACAGTGTGAAAGGGATTTGATAGAAGTTGTGTTGATAAAGGGATGACAGACTACTATGGACTACATATAGGTTTCCACTTCACTATTGTCTGTTTGGATTCTTTCACAGTGGGCTGGCCCTAGTTCATCTCTTCACTCTGAATACTATAATAGGAATATTACTGTAATCCCAGTCCACTCTCAACCCATTCCCAACTCCTATCTCCTGTTTTTAAAATTTGACAGAGAGCCGGGAAGGAAAGTGTTCCTCTGGTTCCGATGAACTTGGGGGATCCCGCCATTCCCGAACGTCCAGCTACGCTAGTCAGCAGTCTAAAGCGTCAGGTAGGCTCTACTTACGTGCAATGTAAAATATATACAACATGTACCGTGGGGATCTATATCTTGTGTATCTCACCCATGCTAACATACAACACAACTAGTCATCTTTCAAAAGTATCAGTAAGGCTCATTACTTGCTTACATTCAGCTCAGCTATTGTATCATATTTTCCTTCTATGCCTATTGCATGTTTTTCTGCTATGTTCTTTTTTTTGCACTTACTAAATGCAGTCTAAGAGGGAATTTTGCTTCACTATTCACTTGAATCTTTCTGCATGCTTTGTGTCTGTGCAGTGCTTCACCCTAACCTAGTTTACTTCTGTCTCTAATCTCTCTCTCTAATTAAAAAGAGTCTTCTACATCAGTATCCCATAACCAGACACACATACGTTCTGTCTGTCTGTCTGTCTGTCTGGCCAGTTAGTTACGTGAGCTTCATGATATTGTCTGTCATAGTTTTTTTGACATGTTGCCGTGAGGTCGCCTAGGCAGAGAGCTCTTGTAAAAAAAATATATATATATTTTCTATAGCATTTTTCCCTACAAACGTTTTGTTTATGAATTAACTATTGATTTAGCTAATTATAGTCTGAATAGTTTCAATACAGCATGTTTTCAAGACTGAAGTTGGCGGTTGGTTTATGGCTAGTTAGCTGGCTAGCATGCAATGTTTTGACTCGATTATGCCAACTGTCCGGAGGTTAAGGATGGAGAGAAGCCCAAATACAGAGGTGTACAGAGATGACCATGACTGTATGGAGAACTAAGTTATAAGCATAGACAAGCGCTGACATCATCCACGTATTCCTATGGGAAAAAAACCCATGGCGCATGAAGACGGAAGTATTTTAATTTAAAGCCCGCCATATTGCTGAATGGCACCAAAACATTGCTATCATGATGAAAGTGTCCGTAACAAGCAAAGGATCATGGTCGACGTAGTCGTTTTCATCCTGCTTGAGAGAGTCAACCATGGAGCTTCCTCGTAGCCTGCCGGCCCGTGATTGGTCTGTGTCAGCACGTGGTCCTGTGTGACGCCAAATGTAGTTGTCAGAATGGATCACTATTTAATGAAATATCATGATTTGTAGCGAACTTTAAAATAATTCACCGTGGGGATCGAACTTGATCATAATAAACACATTTTCAGGCCAAAACGGGTGGCTAAATTGTTTTTCTTTGGCCGTTCTGGTAATCGTAATTTACATAGGCTTTCTAGGGCAGACCAGGGCTTTTGGAACCGCTAGGTTGCTACGCAGTAGCCGACCAGCAGAGCGTGTGACGTCATGCTCCAGACCGGACACTGGGGGCCTGGTTAGAAGGCTACTCCTGAATTACTATTGAAGTCTGGTGTGCTTTCTGGCGCCTTCGTGACTGCCATAGCATCGCCCAAATGTGTGCTGCATTTTGGTAGTAGTGAAGAGTAGCTAGCTAATAGTCCAGTGGCTAGTACGGAACTCTTAACTTCATTTGACTGAGTCCTACTACGAAGCCACAGACGGTGTGAATGGTGAGATGACAACATGCTGCATGCTGCCTGCCTGCTCCCCGGCTCTCCCCTTTGACTACCTCCTCCCTCTGCTGACCTCAATGAATCATTAACTTTCTCAACCTTCAGGCTCTTGACCGTCTTAATGTTGTTGTTTTTAAATTGCTTGTTTTTGGTTGTTGCTTTAAGGCACTTTAACATTTATTTTATATAATGAATAGCGCTATTAAAGTTGAATACATTATTGTTACTCCACCTCTAAAAGGAAAGCGCTCAGGCAGCTCGATCACTCCAACCATTCTCCTTTTATCTCCATTCCACCACTGACTAGTACGTTTTCACCCTGACATGCCCCCATGCTCCTGTCACAGGCAGATCAGATCCCCTATAATGAAGGGTCTGTAAGGAGGTGAGGAGTTTACTCAATGGCCAACTCACTCTGATTAACCCCCTGCTACCATCGTTAAGGAGGTAGCTTCCTACGAACATTAAAGCAAGAGAAAAGTCTGTAGAGTAGATGTACAATATTCAATTTTCTTCATAGTTTGGAGGGTTGGTTTAAAAGCTGTTTGTTTTGAGACATTTCAGACACACATCCTTTCCACGTGTTTTGTTACAGTGGTTGGTTGGTAGTGACCCTGTTGAGAGTGTAGTATGTGGAAGGTTTGTTCTCTTCACCGTAGCCTAACTAGCTAGCGTCACATTGAGACCACAGTGTCTTTGCATGAAGTTTCCTGCCGACATGAATACCATGTAAATGTGTGGGCGCTAGGCTAGCGTCCGTCCCTCTGCTGCTTGATTACGCTGCAAGGCTTCAATCTGCACCACTCGGAGTCCTAACTGCCTCTTCCTTTACAAAAAACTGCTTTGTAAAATGTTGGTTAAAATGAAGAATCGTGAATGATTGATTGCACAGTTGTGATATTATAAATGAAATAATTGCAATGGTGTGTGTGTATATGCAAGGTTGTGAGTCTGTGCTTTGTGTTTGTGAATGTATGCACGCAGCTATGCCTTTATGTTCATACTGATCTTATTGACCATTTGAATGTGTCTGAATGCTAGTCTGCTGCCTCAAACTAACCTCTCTGCCCTGACCCCTCTGTGCACCTGACCACCCCCCTCTAGGCTACAGCACGGGTCACTCCCGCTCATCCAGCCTGTCAGAGTGTACCCACCGCAGGAACACCTCTGTGGGCAGTGCCTCCACCGGCATCGCCAGCATCCCAGAGCCCAGCGACGACAATAGGGACAGCAGGGACCAGAGGGAGAGCAGGGATAGGGAGAGAGGAGACCGGGAAGCCAGGATGGGGATGATTCCTCCTACTGCTGGGGCTTCGGCCTGCACAGCCCGTACTGAACACCCCACTGCCACTAGCACCACTAGTTCCTGTAAAGGCACCCCGGTGAAGAGTGCCTCATCCAGCGAACGCCTCAACAGGTGAGACTGAGAGACTTCCCTGATCACGATCTTAATGCTAATGCTAGCTTTAAGAAATGTATTCTGTAACCTCATGTTGACTTGTTGATTAATCAAAGGATAAATAAATTGACAAACTCACACCTGATCAAGCTGCTGTGCTGAGACAAAAGAAATTGAGCCTAAGGCAGCAAGAGTCTGTACATTACATTTAACATTTTAGTCATTTAGCTAGGGCTGACCCCAATTAGTTGACTGGTTGATTGTTTATTCGATAGGCTGTTGGTCGACCGAGATTTCTTTAGTCGAGTGGTCTTATATCATTAAGCCAAATTAGGCTGCAAATTAGTGCAGCACGAGCGCCTCCACTGCTAGCCCAGGTTTAACCCAAACCACCTTGGACCTGAAGCCCCCCATCTCCGAAAAAAGAAAAAGAGAGATAACCGATGGTATCGTGGACTTCATTGCCTTGAACATGAGGCCCGTCAACCTGACAGAGTGCGTGGGGTTTAAGATGATGATGATGATGATAAATCTTGGTGCCTGGTTACACCGTTCCCAAGAGAGAAACTATTTTGCATGCTTTGACTGCGAAATATGATAACACAAAGGTTTTGGAGTCTATCAAAAACAGTCGGGCAGTAAGTTTTACAACCGACATGTGGACCTCACTGAGAATGGAGTGTTACATGACCGTCAATGCACATTTCATTACTGAGGCCTGGAAACTGCAGTGTCTTGTGCTGGAGACAAAATAAACGGAGGAGAATCGCACCGCAGCCAACATTTTGCAGAGACTTGGAGAAGTTGCCGATGCATACGAAATCCCAGGATGTAAAAGGGTCGCTGTGGTACATGACAATAGCACAAGCATGGTTTTGTGTGCAGATATATTGGAGCAGGAAGAGGAATGGGCAGACGTAAAAGGAGTCAGATGTGCTTGATCTCACCACAACGCAATGGAACATGGCAGAGGACATTTAGAATGTGCTGAAGCCGATGGTCACCCTGACTGAGTTGCTGTCCGAGGAGGACAACACATCCTTATCTGCATCCATACCCATGCTGGCTTGAAACGCTGCCACTTGGCCGTAGTGGAGGACGACAGCCACACCACTAAGAGTCTAAAAACAAAGCTGGTGGGGGAAACTGAAAAAAGATGGCAGCTCAACGACCGACTACTTGAGAGTAGTCTATATGTCCAAGCAGCAGTCATAGACCGACGCTTCAAGCTGCTTTCGTTCGTTGACGATGCAAAACAAGACGACGCCTACATCAACGTGTCCCAGCTGGCCGACCGTTTGAGCGCGGCGCAGCCAGACGAGCCAGAGCCCGCTTAAGGAGACGAAGAGGAGGAACCCACACAAAAAAAAAGAAAACTGACAAGGAGCGGGAGCGGGAGATGGAGATGCTCATGTGTGGAGATAATGGAGAGAAGGAGGATCAAGGGGATAGCAAAGAAGAAATAGAACAAAAGTCTACGCTGGACCGCTAGCTTGGTGGGGAAAATACGAGGACAGGTATCCGAAGCTGGCCAGAGCAGCTAAATACCTCCTCTCCATCAGTGTATCTTTTCCAAGGCAGGGTTTACAGTCAATAAAATGAGGAGCTACCTTCCTGAAAATGTTGACAAATTTGGTGTTCCTGTCTCATAACTTGAAAAGCTTAGGGATGTAGGCTATGGCTATTCAGTGTGAGTAAGTAGGCCAGTCCAATACAGTTGACAGATAGAGAGATGATAAACATATTATGCAGGCTGCTAAATGTTTGGAATTGTGAAATAGCCTATGCTCATGTTTTTCTGGTAGCCTGGGACTATACAAACCATTTTATGTTCAGCATTAGAGTTAAAAGCTGCTGTTGAAGGCGGTTTAAATAGCCTAGCCTACTGTTGTGATAGGCTCCAACTCTTCATTTAGGCTAGTTTGTTATTCATTTATTTTGTTTGTTATTAAACATAATGAATTTACTGTTCAATGTTTAGGTATGTTGATAATATATTTACTGTAATACTGTTCAACTATGTTGATTGAATACTAGGCCTACTGGCGGTAACTGCTGCTGTTTGTCATTTATTTTAATTAAGCACATTTTTATTGTTTGTTCAATTTGTTATGTTCTTAATAATTTAAAAAATATATATGCTTCCTTAAACCATCTACTCTATTTTATAGGCTCTATGATTATTTTTCTTTGTTTTGCAATATATCATATTTGAGAGACATAGGCTATTCGTGTTTGGAGTCAGTGATATTCTTAGCATAGGCTTTGGCTGTTTTAACCTAGGCTACTGTATGTTTAATTCAGATTCACTACCATGAAATAGCCATTATAAAGTTGTTACCTTGTTGTTGTGGTCAAATAAAAGTATAGGCCTGTGGTGTATAGTCAGGAGACTTGAATCAAGATTGCAGTTGAAAAATAAATGTTTGGGTTTACTCCCTATAAGTTTACAATTCAAAGGTTTTGGGGAAAAGGGAATGGGAAGGGAACAATAATCAAATCAAAATCAAATGGCGTTCTCTCTTCCGGCAGCCTTCTGCCATGCCAAATATTAATGTTTATGTAGCACACACTTCCCCACTCCTGCCATAAGCGCTGCAGTGGTGCTCTCCAATGTGCTCAACTGAATCTTCAGTGAGTGTTTTCTCCCGCGTTGGGTTGGGAAGGAGGGTAGGTTCGGGAACAAGGTTTTTTTCTTCTGGTTATCTTGATCTTTGGCTCCCTCTGAGTCGTGTCTTAATTATTTCATCAAGCAGTGCACTTAAAGCATCAGACAAACTCAGTGCATAATATAGTTGATTTTATTATAACACAGGGTGTGTCTATATATGGAAAAATACACGTTTAAAAATTTCGACCAATTGATTGACCAAGATTTTTGTTGGTCGGGTACAGCCCTATATTTAGCAGACGCTCTTATCCAGAGCGACTTACAGGACCTATTAGGGTTAAGTGCCTTGCTTAAGGGCACATTTACAGATTGTTCACCTAATCGGATGGGGATTCAAACCAGCGACCTTTCGTTTACTGGCCCAACGCTCTTTGCCGCTAGCTTACCTGCCGCTCTGTACTGCACTGTATGTCAATGACATTTCTGACTTATTGGACCAGTCTCTCTTGTTACACAACATTCCCAGCATCACTCATTTCACACAGATAAGATAACACCTGAACTTATTTTCTGAAGAGGTAGTGCATGTATCCTGGTGTTGTAATGTGATCGTATGTGTTTTAACTTGATCCTGTATGTCCCATCAGGCACCTGGTGAAGCAGTGTTCGATGGAGGGTCAAATGATGAGGGTGGAGGCTTCTCGAGTGGATGCTGATGACGTGGTTGAGAAGATACTCCAGGGTCAGGACTTCACCCCCAACATGCTGGACTCCAGCCATGAAGGTAACTAACTAACCATGGAAACCACAGACCTAGTCAGGACAGGTTATAGTGTAGAAGGTCCTGCAGAGCCAGGACTTCACCCCCAGCCTGCTGGACTACAGCCATGAAGGTAAAACCATGGAGACCACAGACAGTCGGGCCAGGTTACAGTTTTGGTAGAGCCACTTCTAGAGGTGCACACCTAGTCTGAGACCAATCCAGTTTTGATCTTAGAGGTAGACTTACAACTTTTGGAGCACTTCTACCTCTAGAATGATGGGTCTGAAATTAATGTTGAAAGCATGTTTGTAAAGACCTGTGGTATTGGAATGTATTAAGGTATATTACACATTCATTTGTATTCCATCCCAGTAACTTCTTTATTCACATTACTGTATAAATGTTACTTGGACAATTGTCAATACAAAAGGGTTGTAATGCAGTTGCCTCCACCTTAGTGACCTCAGTAATGTGGAGTAGATTCTTACCATGGTTGTGTGGGAGCGTAACCTATGCAGTGGGGGTTGATGGAGTTTCTATCAGCACGTGTTAATGAATCTCTACAGAGGAAGGAATGTATCCCTGATACTCTTCAAGGTTCCCGTCGTCCTCTACAGAAAGCAGAATGCTCCAGTCAATACTGGATTATTTTTAGATTGCCTAGCAACCTGCCTCTCCTTATGAGGAGTGTTGGTGTTCCATCTGCTAAATAAGGAAAAGCTGTTTCATCACAAATGCCACTCAAAGCTGTGTGTTTCAGAGGAAGGCCTGCGGCTGTTTGTTGGTCCCGGAGGTAGCACTGCCCTTGGAAGCCATCACCTGCCTACCAGGTAGCCTTTAACAGAGTTACACACACAATGAAGCAACTTTTTAAAATAAGATCACATACACTACTAGTCAAAAGTTTGGACACACCTACTCATTCAAGGTTTTTTCTTTGTTTTACATCGTAGAATAATAGTGAAGACCAAAAAGGTGTTAAACAAATCAAAATATATTTTATATTTGAGATTCTTCAAATAGCCACCCTTTGCCTTTATGACCGCTTTGCACACTCTTGGCATTCTCTCAACCAGCTTCACCTGGAATGCTTTTCCAACAGTCTTGAAGGAGTTCCCACATGCTGAGCACTTGTCGGCTGCCTTTCCTTCACTCTGCCGTCCGACTCATCCCAAACCATCTCAATTGGGTTGAGATTGGGGGATTGTGGAGGCCAGGTCATCTGATGCAGCACTCCATCACTCTCCTTCTTGGTCAAATAGCCCTTACGCAGCCTGGAGGTGTGTTGGGTCATTGTCCTGTTGAAAAACAAATGATAGTCCCACTAAGCCCAAACCAGATGGGATGGTGTATCGCTGCAGAATGCTGTGGGAGCCATGCTGGTTAAGTGTGCCTTGAATTCTAAATAAATCACAGACGGTGTCACCAGCAAAGCACCCCCACACCATAACACCACCTCCTCCATGCTTTACGGTGGGAACTACACATGCGGATATCATCCGTTCACCCACACCGCGTCTCACAAAGCCACGGCGGTTGGAACCAAAAATCTCCAATTTGGACTCCAGACCAAAGGACACATTTCCACCGGTCTAATGTCCATTGCGCGTGTTTTTTTGCCCAAGCAGGTCTCTTCTTCTTATTGGTGTCCTTTAGTAGTGGTTTCTTTGCAGCAATTTGACCATGAAGGCCTGATTCACACAGTCCCCTCTGAACAGTTGATGTTGATGTTTCTGTTACTTGAACTCTGTGAAGCATTTATTTGGGCTGCAATTTCTGAGGCTGGTAACTCTAATGAACTTATCCTCTGCAGCAGAGGTAACTCTGGGTCTTCCATTCCTGTGGCGGTCCTCATGAGAGCCAGTTTCATCATAGCGCTTGTTGGTTTTGCGACTGCACTTGAACGAACTTTCAAAGTTCTTCACATTTTCCGTATTGACTGACCTTCATGTCTTAAAGTAATGATGGACTGTCGTTTTTCTTTGCTTATTTGAGCTGTTCTTGCCATAATATGGACTTGGTCTTTTACCAAATATGGCTATCTTCTGTATATCACCCCTAACTTGTCACAACACAACTGATTGGTTCAAACGCATTAAAAAGGAGAGGAATTCCACAAATTAACTTTAAAGAAGGCACACCTGTTAATTGAAATGCATTCCAGGTGACTACCTCATGAAGCTGGTTGAGAGAATGCCAAGAGTGTGCAAAGCTGTCATCAAGGCAAAGGGCGGCTATTTGAAGAATCTCAAATATAAAATATATTTTGATTTGTTTAACACTTTTTTTGGTTACTACATGATTCCATATGTGTTAATTCTTAGTTTTGATGTCTTCACTATTATTCTACAATGTAGAAAATAGTAAACATAAAGAAAAACCCTTGAATGAGTAGGTGTGTCCAAACTTTTGACTGGTAGTGTATATTAATGTATAAATACATTTATTACATAAAATGCTTATTATTTAACCCACATTCACTCCTCACTCAGGTACTTAGATAATGGATTGTGATTTGCTCATTTGTCCTGTTTTAGGGTTGGTGCCGGAGCATATGAACAGGTGGTGATTAAGCGTTAGGCCTAAACTCCACCAGGAAGAGGAGTGGCACAGCTGAAGTCCAAAAGAATGATCTATGGTTTTTATCTCTCTTTAATTTCAGCAAGCACATTTTATCCAAATGAACTGGCCTGTGTCAGAAATTGACTGCAAAAGCTTCTTCTGGTGTTCGTACAGACTATGTGCACTGTCTGTAGTCCCATGTTAGATTAGCTACTAGCTCAGTAAAGTCAAGAAGAACATCTGGAGTGGGATGTTTTATAGGTAAACCTGACCTTTTCAACTGGAGTTCAAAGATGAAAGTGGATTGGTTCTGTGTTTGTCACCAGAATGAAGGAAGCTTTTGCTGAAGAGGAGGGGAGGATGATGCCTTTTCAATACATTCCCTAGTTTAAACTAGTTCCCAGTTTTCATTCCTTTTGTTTTTCAACTATGTCGTTTTTTATTTGGAACTGCCTTTTAAATTTTGGATTTAAACTTTTATGTCCACCAATAAGCTGCTAAAAGGTGTTTAGGTGTGTGTGTGTGCGTGTTTGCATTTCTGTTTGTGTGTGTTTGTGTATGCGTGCCTATATTCTCTGGTAAAGTGTTAGACACTTCTGTTGTAATAATAGTAAGGCTACAACAATCCTGCAGTATACAGGGCTGAGGGCTGGGAGTGAGACTGCAGGTTATAGACTCTGTACTGAAGGTGACCATGCTCTGCTCTGCTGCGGTCTGAGTGGGAACTGATCTCATTACTGGCAAAAATAGAGACCACCTCAGAATATAACCTCTCTGCCCTTTTTATACACTTGCTGGGAAAAAAATTGATAGAGCGGAAGAGGGGAGAAGCTCTGAGTGAGGTCAAGCTTGTTTTTAGCTCTTCTGAAAGAAGCAGACTCTCAGGTTAGAATATCAGGGTTCCAATCCGGATGGCTCTTTTTTTGCAGCGATCGATGACTGCTGTTTAGAAACGGATGGAAGTCAACAGTTGTGATTCTTCTTGCCAAACTGACGTAGGTACAGTACGTAGTTCCATATGTAGGTAAAGATATTGGCTAAAGGACAAGTTGTCAACAATTATACTGCCATTGTATACACTTGTTATGATGATATGTTTTTTTGACAAAATGCCAGGCTTTACATTAGATTATGCTGGTGATGACTCTGCTATTTGTTGTCTATGAACTATTTAATGGATTGAGCCTACGTCTTGAATATAGTCTACTATGTCGATGACATATACGGTTCTTAAACTGACATTGAAAGAAATGTGTATACACTACATGATTTTGTGATGATGAATCTTGTTAATCGGTTTGTTTCACTAAATGGAAATAAGAATACATGTTCAGAAAGTAAGTTAAGATATATAATGGCGTACATACTGTACCAGTCAAAAGTATGGACACACCTACTCATTCAAGGGGTTTTCTTAATTTATGCTATTTTTTACATTTTAGAATAATAGTGAAGACATCAAAACTATGAATAACACATATGGAATCATGTAGTAACCAAAATAGTTTTAAACAAATCAAAATATATTTTATATTTGAGATTCTTCATATAGCCACCCTTTGCCTTGATGACAGCTTTGCACACTCTTGGCATTCTCTCAACCAGCTTCACCTGGAAGTCTTTTCCAACAGTCTTGAAGGAGTTCCCATTATATATGCTGAGCACTTGTTGGCTGCGTTTCCTTCACTCTGCCGTCCGACTGATCCCAAACCATCTCAATTTGGTTGAGGTCGGGGGATTGTGGAGGCCAGGTCATCTGATGCAGCACTCCATCACTCTCCTTCTTGGTAAAATAGCCCTTACACAGCCTGGAGGTGTGTTGGGTCATTGTCCTGTTGAAAAACAAATGATAGTCCCACTAAGCCCAAACCAGATGGGATGGCGTATCGCTGCAGAATGCTGTGGTAGCCATGCCTTGAATTCTAAATAAATCACACAGTGTCACCAGCAAGCACCCCCACACCATAACACCTCCTCCATGCTTTACGGTGGGAACTACACATGCGGAGATCATCCGTTCACCCACACCACGTCTCACAAAGCCACAACGGTTTGAACCAAAAATCTCCAAATTTGGACTCCAGACCAAAGGACACATTTCCACCTGTCTAATGTCCATTGCTCGTGTTTCTTGGCCCAAGCAGGTCTCTTCTTCTTATTGGTGACCTTTAGTAGTGGTTTCTTTGCAGCAATTCAACCATGAAGGCCTGACTCACACAGTCCCCTCTGAACAGTTGATGTTGAGATGTGTCTGTTACTCGAACTCTATGAAGCATTTATTTGGGCTGCAATTTCTGAGGCAGAGGTAACTCTGGGTCTTCCATTCCTGTGGCGGTCCTCATGAGAGCCAGTTTCATCATAGCGCTTGATGGTTTTCACGACTGCTGGTTGAGGCAATGCCAAGTGTGCAAAGCTGTCATCAAGGCAAAGGGTGGCTATTTGAAGAATCTCAAATATAAAATATATTTTGATTTGTTTAACACTTTTTTGGTTACTACGTGATTCCATATGTGTTATTTCATAGTTTTGATGTCTTCAATATTATTCTACAATGTAAAAAAAAAAGTAAAATATAGAAAAACCCTTGAATGACTAGGTGTCTAAATTTTTGAGTGGTAGTGTACATGTATTGTATGTGATCATCTCAGTGTCGCCTGTCTAAAGCCATACTAGAGGTTAACTGACCTTTGTTATACTGTATTTGCTGATTTCTGCACAAGTGTGTGTCTTCAATGTATGGTATTTTAACTGTGAATGAATCTGTTTTATTTCTGTTCGTGTAGATGTCTATCTGCACGTATATTGTTTGTATGATTTTTGTATTTTTTTTCAGCAAGTTAAATAGTTCTAAAACAAAGCTTGAAAACAATTCCACGTGGTTCCACAATCACATCTGTTTGAACTACAGTGTTGTGGTGTAAGGTTTGTTACATCTGTACGTTTGTGTAAGAAGAGCACAACCACCTGTGTGAAAATAGGGGCGGCAGGTAGCCTCTAGGTTAGATCGTTGGGCCAGTAACTGAAAGGTTGCTGGTTCGAACACCGGAACCGACAAGGTAAAAAAAAAAAATCTGTCACTGTGCCCTTGAGCAAGGCACTTAACCCTAATTGCTCCAGGTGCGCTGTACAATGGCGACCCTGGCCGTGACTCCACTCCCTGCGGGTGTCTCGGGGGAGTTGGGATATGCCAAAAAACTAAACATTTCTATTGTTTGGAACAGGACAAATATAAGCACCCCCCAAATTATTATTATTATTATAATTGATTTGTT